GGATGGATGGATGGATGCAATCTAAATGAATAGATGGATGGATTGATACAAGAAGGGATCATAGTTTGGATGGGTTGATGGATGGATAGGTCAGAGAATGGATGAAAATAAAATTAAAACTTACCTGGATGTCTGTGTTACATTGTATATATGAATAACAGCTGAATATGAATCAATCAAGACAGGCAAACCCTGCAGAACAGATTCCAAACATTTGACAGCATCACAAGAACCCTTCTTTATGGAGTGTCTTTTCTTATCATTCTTTGCAGCGATAGTACCAAGGAGGTTTAGTAATGTGGGTGCCATATTTGTTGCTAGTTTTGCAGATATCCTCACTTCATTTAACCTTGAGGTCTTACAAGCAATCACCTAGTATATGTATGAAGTTAAAGTGTACAAATGTAATAAATACAATTAATGAATATATTTCAATAAATTACTTTGTGTTTGGAAACTTGCAGAGGGGTTGTGACTGCTTTTAGAATGGGAGTTGAGACTGCTTATTTTCCAGGTTTTTACATTTTGACCTTCCAAACTCCGGATTTTTTTTTGACACCATATTGACACTCCTATGAGTTTGAAAAGTCCTTGCAGGGGTAGCCAGTGAAACGCCCCTCCGGAGTGCCCGGGTCGAAATAACCCAGCCAATCCCCAACTCCCAAACCAACCCCTGCGCCAGAGAGCCATTTCACAAGCTATTGCAGGGGGGCTGTGTCAGACTGCTTTGAGATCAATTACAGTTTCTAGAAAAAGCACACCTGTCATTGATTGTTGATACTTTTTATAATTCAGCTATTGTACTAACAAGAATGGATACCTTTTCTAAAACATCCATAACTCCACAAAATACCCCAAGAAGTGGCTTGTTATCATGCACAATCCCAGTCACAGAAGGAAGTGTTGCCTTTTTTAATTCTTTTGTTAGACCATCTATGCCGTCTGTCATCTGAAATACAAAGATCCTTATAATAAGACCTCAATCATATAATTTTCTTGCTAATAAAAATCACCATAATGATTATCATATTATTTATTCAAATCAGTGCTGCAGCACTTATTGGGTCATCACTCTTTGAAAATCATAACATTCGTGAATGTTAATGAGCAAAATTAATATTTATTAGCAACTACTTTTAACTGAACTTTGAACTGCAAGCAACATTGTAATGTTTAGAATCCTGATTGAGTTGTACCGTGCTAGTTTTTTTAGCTTGACTCTTTGAACAATTCAGTCTGATGATGCTTGAATGCACCACTTTGAATGCGCTTAATCGGGGCAGTGCTTAATGGTGGGCAGCACTTGTGCGGTTGCCTATATTCACCTTGTTTATACAGCTATAAACAGAAGATGCAGGTGATGCAGTTTTTAATAGGTATTTCACCAGTGTACAGATCAGATGGATTGATGTGCTCTCTAACTGCTCAAGGTATCTCTCTTCTCTCTAAAAAAAATAAGGAAAATATGTTAATTAAAATAATAATTAAGAAATTAGTACTGTCAGTAACATATCATCATTCATAGCAATTTCAAAGTTTTTTTTACCTTCTTTAAAAACAATAATATAAAATGTATTAATTTATGCTATTAGTAATAGAATAAGATAATTCACAATACCTCTATCTGACATGATGTCAAATATGACGATAGCATCCAGGTAAGGAAGGAATCCAGGTTGATAACATGGTGGATTAAGAATCTCTTTTTAGAGATACACCCATTCACCATGATATTTATCAGTTCATGGTCCAAGAAAAAAGCCCTGTGGCACTCCTTATTTTCTCCCTATAAATAACATAAACAATTTTTTTTATAAAATTAAATTAACTTTCCTTGATTGACTAACAAAATAAATTATAGTACTGTAATGAGTCAAAGTACAATATTAACATAACCAAAACTAATGGCCAACAAAATTGTTTTTTTAAACATCAGTTTTTTTTAACCACTCTCCATGAAATGGGCTCCTCACCGAGGTTTGCTCCACACGCTGTCAATTTGCATTCACTATTTAAAACACACAACTCTTAACTCGCATACACGCAGTTCAGTTAAAAATTTAATGCATGACCCAAGAACTGAACTGCACAACAGTGAAAGACTGTGCCGTAGCAGCACATGCCATGTACTAATGCCAAGTATATAGCTGTAAATACATCTACATTTTATTCTTGCACTCAGACAGCCTCACCTGATGTAAACAGCTGTGTAATAAGGTATTGCATGCCATCAAACCAATAATACATGCAGAGTGATTGGCATCTGTTAACCAATCAAGTGGCAGACAAGCAAGCATCTATAATATGACAAAAGGGAGGTTATTGCATTGGCGGACTGAAATCTTTAGTGAAGCAGTATGTTGAGCACTGTTCTGTTGTGTGTTCTTTGTCTCTTGTGCATTAAATTTAAGTTGCATTGTGGATTCTGAGATGTATGCCAGGGAGGGGTTGGGCTCCCATACGATAGGGCAGGGATGCTCATCGGAAATCTTGAAAATGACCCCTAAAAGGTACCCCAGTCCTGTCGAGGTGGGCGTGGCAACCAAGGAATTTACCCCTAAAATTGACAGAAGTCAGATGATGAACCAAAAAATATCTTGAATTACAACCCGTCATTCTGGCTGTCGTTAATAATCTTGGGTATCTCATTTCCTGACAATTATAAACACTGTAAGATGCCCTGTTTACTCTTTGGTGATCCTTTTGTGATACCTAAAGCTTAAGGGTATCAAATCCCAAATCTGGAATCCTGAAAGGCATAATGAGCTAGAGCATCCACACCCTTTTTCAATTGAATGGAATCCCCTCTAGGAGATTCATGTTTCATATGATTCAAATTAAACTTACGGAAAGACAGTTGGTAAGCATTTTGAGGCTCTCCTTTAAGTCTTTTTCAGAAGCTTGGCTGGATACGCCTTTGGAAGATTCAAGTACTTCTAAAGCATTGTCTAATGCTTTTCCAAGTGATAATACAGGACTGACAGCCTTGGAAAGTGATTTCTCTGTGCTTTGTGCCACTTGACTGATGTCTTCTTCGCCTTCAGATGTGGAAACTTTGAAACAAATATAATTATATATAATTATTATAGTCCAAAAAAGTTGAAATTGTATGTGTCTGTCTGCAGATCTAGAGTAAAGATTCAATTTCAAATAATTTTCTAGGTTTTTTTGCAATTGAATCATTCCTTGGGTTTCTAAGCAACAACAACTCAAGTTACCATATCAACCAGTTGAAATACCACAACGGAACTTGTTACCATGGCAATAATTATTACTTAAGAAAAAAGCAAGAGACTGGGGCAAGTTTGGAATTTATATCTCATTTTAAATTTAGCAAAAAATGTAGTCATTTGAGATCGGGTAATCCACAATGGGCAGAACGAAGCCAGGGAGTGGATGAACAAACAATGAATGGTGAGATAAAACAAAGAACGCAGCTCACATGTAGAACAATACACATTGTTCACCATAATCCATGCTTTCTTTGCTTTTGTTATTTTGTCCAATCCCAAGCTTCGTTCTATCAGTGGACACTGACCCTTGAGATCAGCATCTGAAGATTAGTCTCACAAATTTGAACATGTTTATCATCATTGTAATGAGCCAGAATTAAAGCTTTGAGAAGTGTCAAAATTTAATGTACAAGAATGTACAAAGAATGTATGGTTACAGAGTACAAGTATCCCACACAAGATAGTTACATAATTTTGTCACTCATTCATTTAATTTGATAAAGCAATTACCACTTTCATCTTCACTCGCTTCAGAATCTGTGTCTTCACTTTCTTCCTCTTTGTCAAAATCTCTAAGATCATCATTCACGGATCCATTTACTTGCAGTGTTCCTAATGCTGTAACTATGTTAACAAGCTTTTTGTGTGGTTGAGCAGTGAAGTTACATGAACTAGTAGAGAGAAGTAAAAATAAGAAATGCTGTTATATTATAATAACTTATTAAAAGGCAATATAATGTCAATATTCAGATCATCTTGGAAAAGTAATTTCAGTCAGTGACATTATACTGTAGCCTTTACAGATTAATCTACAGTAAGATGGCCACCTTTATAAGGTTCCAGATATTAGAGAGAAAATTTATTATAATTTAACCTCAGGTTTTTGTTTAAATTTTCCTGCACAGGACTTTCCATCACATATTTAGTATTTCGAAGGTCCAGGTTGGGGTTCAAAATGGGACTTTAGGTTTTGTCAGTTAACACCCAAAAGTAATGAAAAATTCAAAAAGGTGAGACCATTTTGAATTCTGCAAGTCAGAATAGGTAAAAATATATACCATGAAAAACTTCTTGACATCAATAAAAAGCATTCTCACAATACCTTAACACTTCTCCAACATGAATCCAAAGTGAAGACACCAAGCTGTCTTGCATGGATGGAACAAGGTGAAATGCAGCACTATGTAGAAGTGTCTTGGATGTAGACTGTATGGACATGACACTATAAACAAGTGATATAAAAATTATTATCAATAAATATAGATTAGGCAATTAATTAAATATCAAATGAACACCACAGCCAACAAAATTTGTTGGAAGCACAGTACATCAATTTGCTTAACTTGCAAGCGTGCAATTAAAGCAAAATAATACAACCATGATGCAAGACAAATTGCTTGGTATGGTAGTTTTGTCTGCAATATAACTGCAAACTTAAGTTTCTTATCAATTAAGCAGATTTAATCATCAACACTGACTCATCTTAGGGGTTTTCTGGCCCTCCAGTTTTTCCTCTGTCCACTCAAATCAACCCTAACTAATTCAAACTGGTTAGAGAGCTGTGCTCCAGGGTCATACAGTATACGGACTGTATAGCAGCTGCCAGAGGCGCCTTTACATGCTTTCAGTATGACCCAGTTGAGCTGCGCTGTTAATAAGCTCTGACAAGTTTTCCCCCTCATTAATAATTATATAATTATTCATTATTTGATTCATAAAAATACTACTCAAGCTCCAAGTACTGACTTACTTTTCAAAAATTCTTGTTTGAACTGAAGAAGGTTCTACATCAGTAGACACCAGTGACTGGATGAGGCACTGTGTAAACTTTAGTCGTTGTTTGCCTGTGCATACAGGAAGAAAGAGTGATGCTTTGTCACACAAACAGTACCAGTATGCCAGTGAAATATTGGTTTTATTGACCGTCCAAACCTGTTAAAATATAAAAAGAGGAGTGGATGAGATTAAATAATAATGATTCATAAATGAATTAAATGAATGAATGATTAAAGGAACAAATGAATGAATGTATCTGATAATGGAGTAATGAACAAATGAACAAAATGAACAAATGAAGAAACGAATGAGTAAAGGAATGAATAAATAGATAAACGAACAAACGAAAGGTCGAAAGATGAATGAATGAATGAAGGAAGGAAGGAATAGATAAATAGCTGGATAAAATAGATTTACAGTCAGACAGGTCAATGAATGGAATGGGATGTATGGATGAGTGAAAGCCATTCAATCCATCAGTCAGGGGTAAGGAGACACATCCAGAATCACTCATTTTGTGCACACTAATCTTCTATGAGCCAGGGTCACTCAACATGTACTCTTACCTGTTTATTCCAAGATGAAGGATTATCATATGAAATGGTGTCACTTAGAATGAAAATGTGATCCAAAAGCTGCTGAAAATCTGTTTGACAATGAGCTGAGCTGTCTTGTATAAGAAGAACTCTGGTCCTCTGGATGCAAAGCAAAACCTACAAATGATGAAAGTAAACTTTAGAATGATTTAAGGTGGCTGCCTACTTTTGAACGTTCGTTTTGAGCCCACGATGTGCACGCGCTCAAAAACCACTGAAAAATCTACAAGATTTTATTGAAGAACCATACGCATTTTGAGCTTCAACAAGGCAAAACCCTCAAATTTTGCACGGGACTCTGTATTTTTTGATAGCTCATACGAAAAAACTCCTAAAAATCAAGGTTATATCAACATTTTAGGAAAAGTTTAAATCAGGAACACGTGAAAAAATAGATTTTTGTAGGGATTTTTGTTCGACTTTATGAGATTTTTTAAGAGCACCGAAACTACAAAAGATGACAAATCAATGTATCTCTCTGTCTTTTTGTCGAAAATATCCATGTATTATTGTAGAAKGATTGACTAGCCTTCGTTCRTGCAATCATATAGTCTGCAAATAACTATTATCTTATGAATCTTAATTTTTTTTCTAATCACTTCCGGTGGCGCAAGTTTTACTCCAAAAGCTCGTGCGTAGGCTCCCATTAAATGCTGATTATCTCAAAAACAAGCTCGGGACACCCTATTTTTCTTTCCAGATTTGGAATCAGCATTAAATTTCAATTCGGAAAATYGAAGTTTTAAGAAAAGCTTAAATCAATTTCCAAAAGTAGGCAGTCACCTTAAAAAATTATTCTTAGCATTTAGGGTTTTTATTAAGTGGCAGAGACCAGACATAGTCGACCAACAATGTAATGACGACGTAATGAGCAAAATTCTCCACAGCTTAAACTACCTCCAACTTCTCTTTTTAATATCATAGTTTACTGCCTAGTTCATATATTCTCCTATCATTTTAAAACTCATTGAATGCCTTGTATAGGTACCTTAAAATATTTTCCATTTACTGTAATTGTACTAAACAAATGCAAACAGTTGATTCATATTATTTGTGACTTTGAGAAAGGGGGGTTGCCTACAGGCTGTAACCTAGAAAGTTTGCATACAGCTTTCTCATTGGATTTGACATTACACTTATTCTCATTTCAATACCCCCCCCCCTCCTTTTTTTCCTGTGTCTGACCTTGGTGACGAATGATGAGATAAGACTTTTTCTTTACATACCAACAAGTATTGCAGTCTCTCATTCCCTTGTTTCTTTGTCCTCAGTATTTTCTGTAAATATCCCTTGATGTATTTCTCCCAATAAATGTTCAACTCATCTGATATACATCCTAGTTTTCCAAGAAAGATCTTTATTTCTTGTAAGGCATGAAAGAGTATGAGGACTGATACAGATAAAGATTGAGCAAAAACCTGTAAAAAGATAAAATGAAGAAAATGATATTATATTTAAAACAAATCCTGACGACTCTACTCTCTCATAAAATAAGGAGGGAAAAAACTTTATAATTTTTTTAAATAAGTTAGTAAAAAATAAATTATAGAAGATAAGTCAGACAGATGGAGGAATGGATGAATGGAAGAAAGTAAGAAGTCCAGGAAGAAATGCCTGAGGGAAGGAAGGAGGGAATGGGAGGAATAAATGGGATGAGGAAAGAAAAAGAAAAGAGAGAATGAAAGGATGGAAGGAAGGATCGAAGGAAGGAATGAAAGAAAGATGAAAGAATGGACCAAGTAAAGGTAGAAAGAGATGGAAAGGAGAAAACTGTGAATGCAAAGAAAGAGGGAAGAACTTCCAGCCTCCATACCTTCTCCACAGAAAACAACCAGTCTGATAAATATAGTACCTTATTATCTCTCATATTTGACAAAGCTTCCCAAAGAGGACCAAGTACATCATCAACTGACCCATGATACAAGCTAGATAAAGTTCTTTTAGTAGTCTCCACTGTGTGTTGCTCAGTTACTCCACCCAATGTTGTATTCAACAGAAACAAACTAAAAAGTCCAACAACTCCTTCAAGGCTAAAAATAAGATCATCCATCTTGTTTTCGCTTTTGTGTTCAGTCTTTGCTTGTTCTTCCAGGCCTTGCAAGGCAGGTAAATAGTGGTGACAAATTTCTGAATTAACTGTTTTCCATAGTGAAGTGGATAATCCATATGGGAGTGACTGACAAGCTTTAATCAACCTGCATGGACAAACAGGGGGAAAATAAGAATAACACAGGCCAGAGACGGCAATTTTCTAGCTGTACCATATCTTACCGCAGCCATAACAAATGTACACTATGGCTGCAAAATTATGATTGGATGAATTACTGGGGTTATGATGGGCATTTCAGTGTCGTATCATGTATGTGCTGTAAGTAGGTTAGCAAAAAATATGTGCTATTCTCACTGCATAATTAATTAACGAAGATCCTTTGTGGCCCCGGTTATATATCGCCAAACATGCGTGGGGTTTTTCACAGTTGGTCCAACAGCACCAAAGCTGGGGTTCTTTGCATCCCCTCCCTCCTCCCCTTGGTAGAGGTCGCTACTGCTGATCTCATTGCATATTCATCACCTCAGTCGGATTTCGCCCATAACTCAGCTATGGCTCTGAGGTAATGAGTATGCAGTGAGGATACATGTATCACGATCATAATTTTATAAAGTGTGCTTTAAAGGTTTTTGGATCAGTAAATGGGCAAGCAGCCCAAATTTGGTTGGTGTATGGCTTTACACATGTTACAGTCCATACAATGTAGGATAAATACTTACTCTCCCCTCACAAGATCAGGAAATCCCATCCATGGACCGTTCATAGTTTTAGTAGTTCTGAGTGACTCCAGCATTTGACTGATTAATCTGTCAAACTATAAGAAATGGTACAGTAATAATTAATATATAAAATCATAACTGGTAGGTAATGTAGGTTGCAGTAATAAAGCAGAACAAATAACCAAAAAACTACCATGGCAAGACACTTCCAATATCTTTTTATACTACGCTGTAATTATTCAACTATTAGGAATTATCCAATGTCCCATTGGCCCCCTGGCTAGTTAGCTACATCACTGCATCCTACCGAGTATATTTACGCCCTACTGCATAAATTTACAACCTACAGTATCTTCACCCCAGCTTTTTAGAAAACTTTTGTAGAAAATTTAAGTCCATGTGCCAGTTTAAAAAATATTACATTGAATGTAAAATTGAAACACATGACACACATACTAACAATATAATAAACATGTCATAYGACACATCATTCATAACTTACATTAAAATAACTTACTAACCTGTCGTAACTTGACATATGTCTTTACTACAGAAGACAGGAAGGTATCACAGGAGGATACATCATCCTGTTACAAAAATTAATAAACAAACATTAATCAGCCAAATGTCTCTATATTAGTATTCCAGGCCTAGCCATGACCACTGTTTACCAACTTTTACATCAAACACAGAAAGTCATTATGACCAGCCAAATAATTTTATAATCTAAGCTCAGTGCTGTCATATCTAAGTTATTTCTGAAAACATATATTAGGTAAAACTGACCAGCATCTCAAAGATTTGACCGGACAAGTTTCCATTTTGGCCAGACATTTTCGGATGACTGATAGCCCTGAGCACAGTTACTGTATTTCATGTTTGCTAAACTGTAGTACATGTATTTGTTACTATATATACCTGCTCATATGTATCACTGCCATACATCCATTGTAAGATAGTGTTTAAATGTGGTACTATGATGCAGTGATTCAGATTAAGAAGTACTTCAAGACAGGGATAAATGTTAAAGCTGCAACAATCATAATATAGCTGCATTAAAATATCAATAAATCAATAAATAACATTTTGCATTAATAAATAGATGGAAGAATGGATGAGAGGAAAGAGAAGGAAGAATAGTTGGGACAGATGAATAGATGGATGGATAAATGTATGAAATGTGAATGGATTGATCAATTGATTGATCGATGGTTGGGATGGATGGATAGATGGATGGACAGATGAGAAGCAAGGATGGACGGATGGATGGACGGATGGATGACAATTGGGGCAGATGGATGGAMAAATAGGAGGAKGAAKGGAKGGAKGGAGGGAGGGAGGGAGGGAGGGAGGGATGGATGGACAGATGGATGAATGAAAAGTTGGGATGGATCAATGGTTGGTTGGTTGGCAACAATGCACTGGGGATGGAACATCAAATAATTGGATAGGAAGGGATATATGGCTAGGATGGCTATGTTAGGAAGGAGTAAAAGATACAAATAGTAAAAACTCTATCTCTACCTTGACTGGTATGTAAGGAGGAGTTTAGTAAACTTAACAAACCACTTCAGTTGTCTGCTGTCATCAGCATGGTCTTCCCCCACCTGTAATTAATGATAAAACACATCAGAGCACTTTATTTATCACATTTATTATAATTAGTAAGTTTTTATAGAGTGCATGCTATATACAATCAAGGGCGGATCCAGGTTTTTTTTGAAGGGGGGGGTCTCAGGGGTAAATTTTGTGGGCAAAGAAATCCCAGTCGCATTTTTACCACAGAAGGCCCATTTGACCTCAGGAATGAATCCGCCCTTGACAATCATGTATCTGTGAAAGACTTTGTAAGAAATTGCACAAATTAGCTAGTTCAGTAGACCGTAGACCTACACAACTTTGCACTTATTTGTACAATTTAATTTGTTAGTTAACTTTGTCATGGGTATACAGTATGCACTCTAAGTACTAAATCTATATCTTTATACTATTATTAATAACTGTAAACTATGAACTGCACTATACAGCCTGTACCTGATAGACATCGAAAATAAGAATTGCATCCAAGAGATAATGAACGTATTCCAGAATTCTTGAAATGTGTTTTTCATGTTTGTTTATGACCGTATTATCAATATCAATGCCGAGAAGAACACACAGTTCTGTGAAGAAGTCAAATTCAAGTGATGAAGAAGCCATCTGGTTTTCCCTAAAAGAAAGAAATTTTTTTTGAGGTATTCTTCTCTCTTAGTGAGGAATCAATGGCTCAAATTAGCTCCAAATTGGCTGGAAATTAGTACAGACCAAGATAAAGCACAGAACAAGATATCATGGAAAGTTAGTAGCATTTATTTCAGTATTCAGTATTTTACACAAATATTCCCGTCTACATTACAAACTGCTGGTAATAACCCCACCAAACCAGAGCTTGGGCTACCTGTGGTAATGATAGAGACATTATAATACAATGTTTTGGCTTCCTTGATTGCTTCACATTACGATCACCCATGTGAAATCATAGCATTTGTGTTTGCGGCAAAATAAGGTTTTGGTGGACGTCAATCAAGTGTTTCCATGACAATGTTAGAAAACACAAAGGTTTCAAGGGCATGCATACACCTATGGAATGTTGTGAAAATGTTTTGATTGATGTCCACAAAAACCAACTTTGTCAAGACAGCAAATCGCACAATTCTTTGCTTATTTTGTGGAAGCACTGTAAGTTGAGTATTTGCTTGAAAACATACAGTACTGTATGTTAACTAAATTATATTTGCTAATATTAATAATGGCACTAATTCTTATATTTTACCTTCTAGCCTTCAAAAAATCAACATATAACTGAGGAAGGATGTCCATTACTGCCTCTTGCTTCATGCCGTCAGAGCAACTCAGCAGATTTCTCAAAGTATCAAAAAGAAGTTTAGTGTAGTTTCCTAAACATGCTCTTTTGCTTTGTGGTTCTGTGGTATCATCTTCATCTTTTTTATCTTTTAAGGCTTTGAGTGTCGATAAATAGTCTGAAAGATTTTCCCTAAAAAAACAATAATGATTAAGATTAGGAATATAAAACTAATTTATGAAATAATTGGGATACTACGCACACTATGATTGATCGAAAACACGTCGTGGTTTCCTACACTCTTCTCGTGTTCTCTCAACTTCCTGCGTGTTTTGATCAGAGTATCGAACACAGAAAACTGTTTTTGATCTGTTGAATCAACAACTAAAAAATTACTTTGATCATCCATTTAAACAGTAAGCAATTATTGGACGAGGTTGATCAAAATAATTACTGTGATTTGTTAGTGGCGAGAGACAGGAACAAGAGTGAGCAATCAATTACAGTAAGTGTAAGACACAAACAAATTACTAATATATTTTGTGATCATAATAGTTTTAATACAGCTGTAATTGTTTTATCATTCAATTTTCCTTATTTGTGCTTCGGTTGTTTTTGCTATCTATCAAAAAGGGAACCCAGGTCTACACGTTGACAAATACATCGCAAAATCCTGGCCATGAGCAAACTATTAATTGCAGCAAAATGGCTTTGCACCATAATGCCCATTTAGCAGATTATCATTTGTAGGTAATTATTTGCAGTTACCTCAACCAACAATCAAAAAGTCTAAAAAAAATTATTCTAATAATAATAAATTTTATCAAACGAATTGAACCAAGCTTTCAACACTATATGGCCATCATTGGGGTTGTTTAATAAGTGCACATGATTTAATAAGTTGTTATACAATGTCATTCAGTGTCATTTAGTTACACTGTATCTGGACTAACCTTCTAAATAATGCATCAGACAATGTCCTATGCAGAAGATTCACAAAACAAGTAATTTTATCTTGGGTTATCTTTTTGGCGTCACTCTGGTATACATGTAGTTTGATATTCTTCACGATGTAGCGCACTGTTAGTAATGGACCAATGATGTGACCACATGTCCTCTCAAACAGCTTTTATTTGAGGATAAAGAAAAATTAATTGAGAAGTTCCACTGAATTACAGAGAACTCACCTATAGACCTACTTGATTTTATAATGTATATAAGTGGGGGAGTTTGCGTCTACAGGCGAGTCATCAGTCCATAGGCAAGTTTACTGGATACTATGAGTCTTAATAAATTTGACTAGCCCACAGCAAGGATTTACTAGTCCCAGACTACATACTGAAGAAATAGAAAACATGCGCTCATGCTGTGTGCATGCAGTTGTAAAGCACGTAGGGGTTGGCACAAGAGAGGAGTGTACATGGAGAAGCACGACACGTAGCAGAGTGCTTCTCGACACTTCTCGAGTGATCCGCCAATCCCCAAGTGCTTTATAACGGCACACAGCACAGCAAGCAAGTTTTTTTGGTTTTTTTTAGATACAAATTACGAGAATGACGAAACTGAAAGTATGTAAGAATGCTTTGTGCTCTCATGAATGCGAGATTTAGAACAGTTATTTTGTAATGTACTATAGCATTAGTGTGTTAATGTAGCACTGACAGGTATCAAGCATATAAAAACATATTCTTTATGTACTAATTTAGTATTTACCTTTCTATGGTTGGTCTGTCTTCTTTGTAGAGAATTATACACACTTAAAGAAAGCTCAAGCATGTGAAACATCTCATTGCAAATTTCATTATTTGTTAAAGAGTTTATATTGATCATGAATACCACAAACAACGACAACAAAGATGACATGAACATCACCTGAAATAAACAAAAATATATGACAACAGTTGGTAGATTAGGCGTAATGTTTTTCCATTACAAACCATGTGTCATTCCTTAAAGTATTAAATTTCTTTATTCAAAGGTTGTCCACGAGAAGACACATGAATATGGATACAGCTCAAACAAAGAATATATTCTAAAGGTGAATGGCATGTGGTCTGAAATGGGAAAACATTACGCCCAAGCCAAAAAGGTGTATTAGTGTTTCAGAGGCTGCACAGAAAACTGGTGATGAGTAAGAGGGTTGCAAAATCATGGAACTGTCTTAGGGACGCAATTTTTTCAATATGGCAGTACGCTTAGCAGTCTCAAATATTGATACAACTCAAACGAAGAATCTTACTCTCAGGGGAATGGTCTAAAGTGGGAAAACACAACCAAACTTAAGAGGTTAGAAGTGGTTCCAGAGATGTTTCTCATTTTCTTTGTATTTCAAACACACGTGCTACATGTACTTTCCTTTTATTTCTGAGACATCAGTTTTGGACTACGTAGATAGATTCATGTTGAATAACTTGTAGCCTCAAGCCAAGACCAAACAGTGCACTTGCCCAGGTTGGTTGCTGTTGTTGACAAAGGTACTTAACTCTCAGTGCCTCTCTTCACTCTTCACCCAGGTGTAAAAATGGATACCAGCAAATTTTGGGGACCTGTTATCTTATAATAAACTTGACATTTATTATAAAATAGATTCTATTCTTACTTACATAATTTTCAAACTTTGCAACAAAGGAAGTGTTTAACTGAGAACTTGAAAGTATCATCTGTCCACAGTGGATAATATTCAGCATATCACTTTCCTGTTCACTTGTGAACCTACATGATTCTGAACTAGAATAATCCAAAAATACCTTGGCAAAAACCTAGAGTAGAAGCAAAAAATGGCCAGAATTTATAAATCTTTTGATATATAATATTTACCTACTTTTTACAGGCTGACTTTGCACTACTTAATCTGTGCAATACAGTATCTTAGTTACAGATGTAGATACATGTAAGATACAGTATTGTGTATCAACTTATTTCATTATATAAATTAAAGAAGCCTGTTCCTTATTATTTAATAGGTAACCATAGAAACCACTTACCTGTACAAGTTGTGGCATCAAAGTTAATGGTATATGAACACTGTCCTCTCCATTTAAAGGCTTACATGTAGATATATTCTGGAGAATCTTCTTGAAGTATCCCCAAAGATCTTTGACCTCTCTTGATATCTGCTCACCATCGACAGGCCTAAAAAATATGAGTTTCAAATGGCTATTCTAAAAAGATAAAGTTAACATATATCCCTCCCCTGCCCTTCCTTCCCAGTTGTAAATTAGACTCTTTGTTTGAATCTATGTCCATTTTTATGTACCCTCAAAAGCATCAACAGTAAAGCAAAGAATAATATTCAAGGGGAAGGCAAGGCAAAGCAAAAGCTAGTACTTAGAAGGTGGTCTGCTTTGGAAAGTTTTTATTCAACTGTAGATCAAATTAGCTTGGGCATAAATTGTCTTGTCATTTCAGATCATGTGTCATTCCATTGAGAATATGAGTCATTATGTGTTTTCTCATGCACAACAATTAAATGAAGAAGTGAAATTTGATTCTTCAAAAATTGGTGTGGATGGAACTACAGTAGAAATCAGGGGCAGATCCAGGATTTTGTTCAGGGAGGGGTGCTGCGCACAATGTTAACCCAGGGAGGGGTGCACCCCTTAGAATCAAGGCAAAAACCAAATTGGCTATCTTTGAAGTAGGAGGACAAAGTGTAACCAGGGAGGGGTACGCACCCCCTGCACCCCTCCCCTGGATCCGCCCCCGGAAATGGTAATCATGCAATGATCAGTTATGGCTCTACTAGTAAGAGCAAGGTTTAAGTAGCCCCCAACTCCTCCCGTCCCCCCTCCCCTCTGTCCCCACTTATTTGCACTCACAACTAACCTTTTATCTTTCTTATATAAGATATGATCAACCAGTTTCTGACAGACCCAGTCAAGCAAGACCTGCTGCTTATTGGGAATAAAGCATTTTTCATCACTCCAAGCATTCTGAGCAATACTTATTTTGTTTTCCCAAGATACCTGAGGGTCTCTCAACTTGGTATAGACACCTAAAACAAAATTGCAATCGATGTATGATACAGTAACTTTAAATAAAGGTTAGTGCACAGACATTGTTTGTGGTGTGACAATGTTCTCCTAATTGAACGTGACAAACCTCTAGAGGAATGAACAGCTATTGTTTTGAAACTTGTGGGATATTATTGTTATTTCTTTCACATTCCGTTGGGATACTCATGAATTTTTCAAAGAATAAAAACAAAAGAAAATGAATCCTCTGGAGGTTTGTCACACTGAATTGGGAAGACATTGTCACACCACGAATAAGGTCTATTGAACTTTTCCACTGCATGTTAAGTCATCGCAGCCATGTTGGTGCCATTGAACAAAAGATTTCTCATTAGATCATTGTTAACGGTACCACAATGGCCGCCATTTTTTGTCTTTTGACACTCTTGGGAATGCTTGCAGCCCATCAATACCAAGCCAAAAATGCACTATGGCAATGTGAATGTGAATTACTGCACTCAGCAAAAGGCGATGTTATTGTGTATAAATCAAATAACAAAATATTTAACCCTCATATTTGTCCATATTTCATGTATTCCTGTAATGTGAACGCAACTAAATAAAAAGCCATAATAATCTATATTATTGCAATAATCAATAATAAGCGAAAACTGATATTTAGAAATAGATAATTATCACACAACTGCTACTACAACAACAATTACAACTACAACATTACGACGACAACAACAACTACGACAACGATCGACTAAAAAATATGTAAAAGAGTTCAGACTAGGAGGGGGGTTGGTAACGTTACCTTGCATATAGGGGCGCCTTGCATATAGGGGCGCCTTGCATATAGGGGCGCCTTGCATATAGGGGCGCCTTGCATATAGGGGCGCCTTGCATATAGGGGCACTTTCCATAAAAGGCTATCGGTTGAATGATATATGTATGAATTGTATACTGCTGCAAACTAAAACATAGAATATATCAAATAAGGCTGTGTGAATGTAAAAGATTGAAAAAATCAAACTAAAACATGTRCGATTTACAAGAGTCTATCCGTGTTTTGAGACCGGTTTTAGCGAGAGTGTTTAGCGATCACTGCCTGAATTAAAAGCACGTTAAATCTCGCAACAATCATGTATTCATGCAGGGGTTTATAAGCATCTATTGACTACTAGTGCTGGTTGTATTACATGATTCATTTACAAGGATCTCTTTTATCAAATATAAGCCAAAAGCGCCATTACAGACATAATCTTCATAAACCAGTCACGTAAATATATCAGAGAAATGTTGAAAACCAAATTCGAAAAATTAACTCTACTGCTATAAAACAAACACCGTAATGATCTACAGGATTAAGCGGTATCAATGTGAAAGTTTCAAGAGAAATTGATTCACTGTTGTAATCTAGGGGCGCCTACTTACGTTACCTTGCATATAGGGGTGCCTACTTACGTTACCTTGCATATAGGGCTACTTATGTCACCTTGCACATAGGGGCGCCTACTTATGTTACCTTGCATATACCATACCACACACTCATTTCCCGTGTTTTACAAACATTTTCATAGAGGAATTACAGAGCGATAATACACGGTCTGTTCTTAATGTCTTATTTTATTTTTTTTGCGTTAGTTGGTTTTTGTTGATCTCCTTGAGGTCATAACTTTCAAGTCTGCTTGTGTGCAATAAAAATCGTTGCTATTCATGCACTCTTTCTCACTTATTTCGTCGCGTACAATAAATAATTTATCAACACTGCTTACAGCYAGACAATTTTACTTGTGAAGCTAGCTGTATTTTCGCCTTCACTCGTAACATAATCTAGTCTCCCCCACAGCCGCTTTCAGTGTCGTCACGCAACGCTTTCTCCCCTGAGTAGCGGCTGCTTACCCGAGCACAACATTCCTTTCCTATTGTTTGTGTTCAACCAATCAGATAAATCTCATTGTGTTTCAAGAACCAATCAAAACGTTTCGAATTTGACAACTTGTAAACATTCATAATAATATGTGCATATTCTTTTATCCCAATGTAACTGTTATTGACTCAACTTACATTTTTTAACCAAAGACGAAAAAATAAAAATAAACAAAATATTGGASCTCATAGTGTCATTTTAAATATTGTTCATCAGAAATTATGATTTTTATTCACGATAAGCCACTTCATGACAGCTTCATGTATATTATCTGCCGAGTTCATTCTCCTTACAGCTCATGATAATTAAAAAATTGGTTCATGAGAAGTAATATTCCGGGTTCAAAGCAAATTTGAAAAAGATTCGAAACAGATTCAATTTGAAATTAAAAAAGGAACGCGATTTCACGCTAATACCGCACGCCCCTGTTTAATTCTTAAACAAACCAGACACTTCTGGAACGTGCATGGGTTGCCCAATGTGCTGGTATCTGGAGCTTGTACCGTAAATTCGAAAAGCAGATAAAAAGGCACCTTTTTTACGGTACAAGCTCCAGATACCAGCACATTGGGCAACCCATGCACGTTCCAGAAGTGTCTTCCAGAAGTTGAGTCAATAACAGTTACATTGGGATAAAAGAATATGCACATATTATTTTTGTAACCATCAAGATCGCTGCCTTTTCAGTGTATGGTAGACTAGTGTTGCCACTTGACTTGGTAAAAGGTATTCTGGAGTAGGCTTCA